GGAGAAAGGGAGGTCAGTTTGTGATTGCCAGTCCATCCTTAGTAACAGGTGCTTGTTTTATTAGAAAGTGCTCGCTGTTTTCCTGTCTACTTAAGTAAAAATGACTGGGATGGTGGAAATTTCTACCCATATCTGAAGAACCAAGTGGTGTGCTTAAAGAGATATTTTGGAAAGAGAGGACCTTCTGCTGTTTATGAAGTCTTTCATATGTATATGAGTGTTGGAGGAGTGAGAAAACCTGGGTCAGATCTGGCTGAAAAGATGCCTGACCTTGGGCTGGTTACTGCTAAATGACAAAGTTTTTAAATGTTTTAGACAAGAATTGTTCTAAGCACTCTATATATTTAAATTCATTTATTCTTCACGATAGACTAAGCAAGTAGTACTATTACTCTAGTCTCCTTGAGAACTTTGGAGAACAAGGTTAAGGTTTTGTCCAAGGTCAAGCACCAATAAACAGTGGAGCCAGGATTCTAGCATGTTTTAATGCTTCCTCCTATTTCCAGTTACTCCTGTTTTAAGGCTACAAGTTCATGTTTTTTTTCTGTTCATTTACTTAACCACTAATTACTGAGTGTGTGGGAAATGTCAGCCAATATTCTAGGTGATGGGGACATCTGGGGGAACAAGCCAAATTGCTTGTCCTCTTGAAGCTTTCATTCTTCAAACCCTATGTCCAAAAGTAGGATATAATACCTTAACTTTAATGTACATGAAAATCTCCTGATGATTAATGTCTTACCCTACTCTCAGCAATTCTGTTCTTATAGAGTTGGATAGCACTCAGAATATGGATTTTGAGCAAGCCCACCAGTAAATCTGATGCTAGTAGTCCATGGACAGCATTAGGAGAAACATTACCAAAAATTGATATAGATAAGCTCTAGGCCTTTTTTGCTGCTTTCAAGTGGCAATAACACTGAATTTCCCTTCCCTGCAGGAAATTGAGAGAATTTCAATGAAAGTGTCTGTATTCTTTTTTCTTTTTCTTTGTAGTTTATTTTTATTTGTTTTGAAAGAGAGAGAGAGAGCAAGAACTTGGGGTGGGGGGGACAGAGAGAGAGAGAGGGAGAGGGAGAGTATCCCAAGCAGGCTCTGCACTGCTAGTTCAGATTCCTCCCCGCCCTGTTGATGTAGGATGTAGGTAGGGCTCCATCTCATGGCCTTGAGATCATAACCTGAGCCAAAATCAAGAGTCAGAAGTTCAATAGATTGAGCCAACCAGGTGTCCCGGTGTCGGTATTCTGAGGGAAGTGTAATGGAAACCACAAGTTTTATGACTTTTTATTTTATTTTATTTTATTTTATTTTATTTTATTTTATTTATTTTATTTTTTGCTTTTGGAGATTGGGTGAGGGATTAGAATGGGAATGTGAAAGGGGGAAAACTTAATTGCTGAGAACTGAGGCAGATTCACCCAACATGTGGCACCTGAATTTCTAGATGTCAAGAAATATGTATTAATGCATAAAAGAATATTCACAGGAAATGCAGAATAAATTAAACTTCAAAGAGATAAAGTCTAAAAAGAATATAAAACAGAGAAATATAGGCAGTGTGCCTCCAGAGTAGTGGTGTCTGCTCTGTTTTAATATCTCATAGTGCCTAAAAGACTGATAAGGGGTGCTAAAGTGAACCCATTTACTTCCTCTCTGAAGTGCCTACAACATTTGCAAACATACAGCCATGGAGGGGTAGTAAAACAATTTATACCCTGGGGTCTGAAAAGTGGTGGCATACTCTATACCGTGGTAAGGTCAAAAAGGCCTGTCATTACTAACCCAATCTCCCAGGCACCAGCCCCTCTCATTTTGCCTGTTAGATTCAGAAGTTATTTTCAATACTAATGATATAGTATCACTCTCAGTTATTGTACTACTTCTGCTGTTAGGAGGTTTACCCTCCACTTGCAGGCTTAACCCCTAATGTGTCTGTCTCAAGAAATAGGGTCTTTAGGAAGTAATTAAGGTTAAGTGAAGTCATAAGGGTGGGGTCTAATAGGACTTAAGAAGAAAGATCTGCCCACCTCCCCACCTTCCCTGTGAGGACACAGCAAGACAGTGGCCATCAGCAAGTCAGGAAGAGAGCTCTGGCCAGAACCTGACGGTGCTGGCACTCCAATCTTGGACTTTCAGCCTCCAGGACTGTGAGAAAATACATTTCTATAGTTAAGCCACTCAGTCTATGGTATTTTGTTAAGGTAATATAAATTGACTAGTATATCTACTTCAAATGATTTAAGGAAAATAGGCTTTATCGTAAGGATACCGTTGTGTTTTTTTTATATGAAATTTATTGTCAAACTGGTTTCCATTCAACACCCAGTGCTCATCCCAACAGGTGCCCTCCTCAATACACATCACCCACCCTCTCCTCCCTACCACCCCCATCAACCCTCAGTTTGTTCTCAGTTTTTAAGAGTCTCTTATGTTTTGGCTCCCTCCCTCTCTAACCTTTTTTTTTTCCTTCCCCTCCCCCATGGTCTTCTGTTAAGTTTCTCAGGATCCATATAAGAGTGAAAACATATGGTATCTGTCTTTCTCTGTATGACTTATTTCACTTAGCATAACACTCTCCAGTTCCATCCAGGTTGCTGCAAAGGGCCATATTTCATTCTTTCTCATTGCCACGTAGTACTCCATTGTGTATATAAACCACAATTTCTTTATCCATTCATCAGTTGATGGACATGTAGGCTCTTTCCATAATTTGGTTATTGTTGGAAGTGCGGCTATAAACATTGGGGTACATGTGCCACTATGCATCAGCACCCCTGTATCCCTTGGGTAAATTCCTAGCAGTGCTATTGCTGGGTCATAGGGTAGTTCTATTTTTAATTTTTTGAGGAACCTCTACACTGTTTCCAGAGTGGCTGCACCAGTTTGCATTCCCACCAACAGCGCAAGAGGGTTCCCATTTTTCCACATCCTTGCCAGCAAGGGATACTGTTGTTAAGAAGAGCTCACAGATTTGTTGGGAAAGCGGGAATACCAGACTTTAAAATGGGTAGGGATCCAAGCTGTTGTGGAGGGATAGGAAGTTGGTACTGTAGGAACAGGTTCCATTACTGGGTTGAATGAACAACTCTGTCACTTGGCCTTGTGGCATTCACTCAGGAGTCAAAATCTCACTCAGAAGTAGCCAACTAGCTGAGTTTATGCAAAGTACTTACCCTTTGACAATACAGGACAGTAAAAGGAAGGATATAATCAGAGAAGCCTTTGGGCACCGCCTCACCTTCTACAATGGAAAAGCAAACAGCTGGTCTTACCACCTACCCAAACTGCACAGTTGGGAGAGGTAACACTCCAATAGAGACGTCAGTGTGTTCTTAAGAAGGTAAAAGAGTGCCTGGGTGGCTCAGTCGGTTAAGTGTCTGACTTTGGCTCATAGGTCTCATAGGTCTGTGAGTTTGAGCCCTGCGTCAGGCTCTGTGCTGACGGTGTGGAGTCTGCTTCAGATTCTCTCTCTCTCTCTCTCTCTCTCTCTCTCTCATTCTCTGCCCCACACTCCCTCCCTTTCTCTCTCTCAAATATAAATAAGTAAACATTTTTTAAAAAGAAGGGGTAAAAAAATTGCACTAATGTGTACCATACTATTATGAACAGAATTTGGATATGAGAGTGACAAATAGGGCACTCTGGATAAGGGAACATTATGAGCAATGGTGCAATGGTATATACGGAGGCATATGTAGAGAATAGTTTTATTCTTGGCAGTTTTCTTCTCACAAGTCTAAAATACTCTCTGTGACTTTATTCTCATGGCTTCAACTGCAGCCTGGCTGCTAATGATTCT